GACTGGAGATGCGGAGTGGACCCAGTGAACCCATTCCCTTGGCCACTAGGAGGTGAAGGTGACTGCGTCTTGCCTGGAGAAGAGGTGCAAGAGAGGGGGGGACTGATGGAACCAGGCATAGCTTCATAAAGCGGGTCCTGAGAAGGCTGAAGTGACAATTCTGTAGGATCTGGTTCCACTGTGCTTGCCGCTTCGGAAACAGAGGGAATCTGGTCTTGGCCGGACTCTTGTTCATGGTCAACACTGGGTGGTCGAATGCTAAGTTTGGCCACAGTGGCCTGTATGGAACTAATAGGCATGTCTCCTCCCAGAACAATGTCCTGAGATTCCTGTCGTGGGTATGACTAAAAAAAAAAAAAAAAAAAAAAAAAAAAAAAATAAAAATCGAGTGTGTACCATTTACCTTCTCTTGCAGCATGTTCTTCCTCTGCTGCCTCATCTTCCTCACCAGCTGGATCAGGTCAGGTATACCATTGCCAGCCTCAATTTCTTGCAGCGCTGCATAAAGCAGACAGAAGGCACCAGTACGGCCAACACCAGAGCTATGAGAAACAGAAACAAAAAAGTAAATGTACTACTTCTCTACTTTTGCTTAGCCTTGTCTATGTGGGAATTATACTCTCATTCCGGGCGTAATAATCAAGGAACTTTGCTGCCGTACCATGGTTGCAGCAGGCGTAATGATATTACGCAGCGCCTGAAAATAGGCTAACTTCCGTCAACATCACCAACGTGACCACCTGCTTGCACAGGGAGCGTGCTGGGGACTATTTTCAGGCGCTGCGTAATATCATTACGCCTGCTGCAACCATGGTACGGCAGCAGAGTTCCTTAATTATTATGCCGGAATGAGAGTATAGTTCCTAGCCATATCGGCCTAGAAAATCACAACTTTTCATTTTCTGTCGCTCCTAGTACACGATGTAACTACAGAAGAGTCAAGTTTTAAATAGGAAAAATATAGAAACTCTTTGGTCATTTTTGAGCGAGATGCTAACGGTCTAATCAGATTCAATGATCTATGCTAAGCTACAGCTAAAAGTGCTACCGCCAGACCCAGAGATCGGCTGAATGGATTCGAAAATGGTAAAACTCAACTGTTTATCTCCAGGGGAGTTGGAAAATGAGCCTATTTTCAAAAATAGTGGAGTGTTCCTTTAAAGTATGGTACCTGCAGTGCACTATGACTGGAGTGTGTAGTGGGCGCTGAAGCAGGTAATGTCCATGGACTTCTTGAATAAAATGGATGAGGTTGCTTTTACTCTCTGGAAGACCCCTTTTTGTAAAAAATAAAAACAAAGTTATTGTTTTGAGAGGTAGTAATTTTAATAGACTGACTGCGTAATACTGTTTAAGAATGAGTCCTCACAGTTCAGGCCATGAAGTAAACTGAAGGTGTACGACGGTGCGTTTCAAACTTTGGTCCTGATACTGCAGTCCTATCATGCGCTCTATATGGGTAGGAGTGCTCTTCTGAGTGGTCAGGGTAAGGGTGATAGGCCCCTGAGCAAGTTGTTGGCCTCTCTCTGATGGAAAGTATCGCAACACCTTTTGCTGAGAATAAAATGAAACGCATTGTAAATCATTTAAAATTATGTCAAAAGCCAGTGAGATTCTAGAACTTTTCACAAAAACTTATGCCAGAGGATATTTACCTTCTCCAGTTCTAGCTCAGACACTAACATGACGATTACAGAAACTTTCTGCTCGTAAACCATGAGCCAGAAGTCGGCTGCAGTGCCAGTGAGGGGAGCCTGTGTTGCAATGAGCCGGGGGCAGTATGAGGATAGGTCCTCAATGAAACTGGCATTGATGTAATCATCTTTACCGGAGTGTAAGACAACACGATTGCAGTCGTAAGGCATCACATCCTGATGGCGGTTTTTCATGGTGTAGCAACGAGCAATAGCAATAGAGAGCTGGCGAGTATCCTTCTCCTGCTGCTCTTGCAGTTCTTTCCATTGGGCATCAAGTTTTGACAGACCTCCCTCCCATGTTGGGCGCTCTAAGGACTGAACTGTTGATCTAAACTGTTCTAGCTGTGCACTGAGTTTCGAGACCCTCTCTGGTGCTTGGTAAGGGTCACCTTGGATAAGTCTCACACCCTCAGCTTTTTTTCTGTGATGTTTTTCCTCCTGAGGGTCAGCTTTTGTGGGTAGTAAGACATTTGCGGTGTCCTTAGTGCCTCCATGCTGGCTCTCGGGGCTTGAGGAAAGCAAGTCATCGGTACTAGAGTTCTGTTGCTGAAACAAAGTGGACTCAGATGGAGTCATGGGAACAGTGGGTGTTGGAGCCTGAACTGAGGACTGCGGCAATGTTGCTCCTCCAACTGGGGTTAGAGCAGGAGATGGTCGCTGGGTGACCATACCAAGGGAGGGAGGACCAGGAGAGGGAGAAGGTGATGGGGCAGGAGAAGGTAGCACATGAGGCTGTGGTGCCCCTGGTGCTCCTGAGGATGGAGGTATCATGCATTGAGGCCCTGGTGGAGCAGCAGCTACAGGATGCTGCATTGGTCCAGAAGGAATGTTTCCACCTTGTGGAACAGCATAAGATATTGGGCCTCCTGGGGGTAGCTGTTGTGGGGCTAAAGGCTGTGAAGTGGGTGGCTGGGACTGTGGCTGCAGAGCTGCCACAGACTGTTTTGAAACCATAGGAACAACTCCTGGAAAACTCAAAGGTGCAGAGCTAGGAGCAATTGTTGGCTGAGGTTTGTAGATATTGTGAGGGAGTGCTGGAGGACAGGACTGGGGAAGGATTTGAGGATGATGGTGGTTTTGATGCTGTGAAGGATTGCTAGGGTGAATTTGTATCTGTGATGAAAGAGGGCCATGGGGGACCTGAGGTTGAACAGGAACAGTAGCCCTCAGAGGGACCGCTGGGTATGCTGGCTGTTGATTGGGTTGATGAGAAGGAATAATCTGTGACTGGGGGCAGTGAGATAGCGGTTGGGAGACTGAGGGCATTTGTGGATGAGAGGAAGGAGACATGTGAATGGATGGTGCAAGCATTTGTGGCTGTTGGGGCATCTGTTTGGAAGCAGAAGGTATCTGCATATGGGGTGCAGGGCCTAAATGATGAGAGGGTGGGGGTATCTGGGGGTGAGGAGGACCTGGTAATTGACTGAAGGGAGGTGTTTGGGGCTGTGAAGCAGGGGGAATCTGTTGATTGACATGTGCTAAGTGTGACATTGATACAGAGTGCACTGGTTGGGAGGATGGAGGCATTTGCTGATTAACATGAGCTAAGTGTGGCATTGACACAGAAGGCACTGGTTGGGAGGATGGTGGCATCTCTGGAGGCATGCCTGGATGGGGCATCTGGCCCGGGGTGACAGTGTTAACTTGTGGAGTTTGGGACTTCGGAACAAATGAGACAGGGGGGTAACCCTGATGGGGCTGCACATGGGTAGCTGGAGCTCTAAACTGTCCTTGGATTTGAGGTTGATGAAAGTTTGGTGGTCCTGGTTGTCTTACTTGAGCCATGTACTGTGGGAATTGAGGCTGAGGCCCAGGCAAAGGTCTTGGCATTTGCTGTTGAGTTGGTACAGGTGGGTAAAACGGCTGTGGTTGAGCAAATACCTGCGGAGGTTGAGGCTGTGGATGATGGGCTGGCATTGCCTGTCGAGGTTGGCTTATGGGAACAACAGGTTGTTGCATGTACTGGACATGGGGTGTCATCTGAGGTGGAGCAGCATACACTGATGACACTGGTGGCATCGGGTGGTGTCGGCCAGGAGGATGCATAATTGCCTGGACAGATGCAGGACTGTAGCTTGGAATAGGTGTCTGTACACTATCCACTGTAGTGGTGGAAGGTCGGACTGGAGTGACTGGTGGGCCGGGTTGGTTCTGTAAAGATGGAGGGCAGTACCCAGACACAGATGGTGGTGGAAGGACCTGAGGGTTGGGCAGTTGTGGGAACTGTTGTTGTGCCAGAGGAGGCTGGTGAAGACTGTGACTGAAACTCTGAGACAGGGGAGGTGTTGGAAAACAGGAGATCTGAGCAAGAACTTCAGGAGACGGTAAATTTGGAGGAAATCTGTGTTGCGTATAGAGTAAAGCAGAGTTAACTCCAGGCCAGCGCAGAATAGAGCTAGCAGTGGCTCCGGAAAGTGCAGCATGATAACCAGATGGTGGAATGCTAAGTTCAGGAGGCAGGCTGCGTAGCTCTTCTGGGAGATCTCCACCAAGGGCTAGGATAGCAGCACTCAGCTCTGCCAGTTCAGGGTCATTTAAGTTGGCAGGATCCACACTTTGGCCTTTCTTTGGAGGTGGTTTTGGGGCAGTGGGTCTTTGGGGCGCCTTTTTTTTTAGCTCCCTGTCAAACGTTAATCAGAGTCAAATTAGAACTAAAATTGGACACAACACATTAAACTTTCTATTAAAAACAAGAAAGAAAAGAATTGTACAACTGAGTAAACATATTGATGATCAAACTCATAATTACTTTTCCATTATGGCTTGTCTCTCTTCTTTTCGAGCCTTGCAGACAGTCTTGGCTTTCTCCAACAGGCGAGAGGCCTTTGTTTCCAGATCTTCATAAAACTCTTTGCCCTCCTGAGATTTCTTCATTAGATCTTCATAGGCCTCATAGGAGGCCACAAGCATCAGTACAGTGCTGTTCCATCTAAAAAGTAAATAGACACCATTTATATATTTTGGAAGTATACTGATGAACTCTGTACATAAATCTTCTGTTCCAGATGCTTACCACATTATTATTATTATTAATAATTTAGATTTTCCTTAGTCTTATTTAAATGTTTTTTTTCTGTTCTCAATGTCATATACAGTATGTATGTATGTACATTTGTACAAAGAGCTCCTAAAAAACCCCACAACAAATTCCTTGTGTGTTTGCACACACGTGGCAAATAAAGCTCATTCTGATTCTGATTCTGATGATGCTACACTTGCTAAAGTTTATGCCTATTTGTCACGTAAATGTAATTCCTTTGAGTCATACTTATGTTCAGTTTCTGCCAGGCCCTTGCGCACAGTGGCATACTGTACATTAGCTTCTGTCAGTGCCTTCAGGATATTCTCTTGAGCTGTCAGGTTCTGATCAATGTATACTTTCACCTGCTCATACTTCTTAAGCTGCTCCTCAAATAGTTTCTATGGAGGAAAAGTAAGCAAAGATAAAACTATAATGCAGTGACTGATTTCTAATACAATCCCTTTAAAAAATAAGTGGCCCAGTCATGTAAAGCCCATACCTTCATGTCAGCACGCTCAGTTGTAACCAGAGAAGTAGTGATGTCATCCTGCTGAATGAGGTCTCTAAGCTGCTTTTCCAGGGAGCTTCGTTGGTCCCGCATTTCTTGCACTTTACCCAAAATTCTCTTCATTGTCTGGAGCCCTGCCATCTCATCTGAAAATGTCAAAAATTGTAATTCTCATAAACCTACATAACATGAACTTTCATGTGAATTATTTAAGTCATAAAACACCCACCCTCACTAAGTTGAGGTTTTGGCAATGCCTCTCTAAGGGTGTCTAGTGGTCCACCGAGGAGTCTCAGATTGCTGATGTGCAGATTCATGGCCCGATGAAGTTCTGTGTTGGTGAAGCTGGCTTTTTCATGTGCTTCAAAATACTTTTCCAGGTCTCTCCGCAGCTCGGCCAGGGCTGAGGGCCGTTCTGGTACAGCCTGCTTCCCAGCAGCCTCTTCTAAACTTTGCTCCTCTGCCTCATCCTCATCCAATACATCTCGAATCTCCCGCAGAGAGGCTTCTACATCGGTGAACACACCTGAGAGGACTGAGGAGGGAGGAAGAGGAGTTAGATACAAGAATTTTGACTTTTCTAATGTTTTACTGTACTTTTTTTAAAGAGCTGTAAATAGCTTGAATTGAGATGGACAACTTTATTTAAGAAGTAAAGTTTAAGTAATTAGCTTTAATTACTGGCAACATGAAAATACCATGAAAAAGGACTTCGAAGTGACACCACTAACCCTGCATTGACTGGATAAGGTTTTTTACTGTATCAGGTCTCACACTCAACGCAGCACATTTTTCCATCAGCACAGAAGGAAGGGTATTATAAATCTCCATATTGTCTACTGACTCTGGGTCCAGACCGAGAGAGTCCATGAACTGTCTGTTGGAATATGACAATTGAGACATTTAGATGCATACTACGTGTTTTGTATGAAATTACTTTAAGCTGCTTATACTCACTCTAATGTTTCATTCTTGCTGTCTATTTTTGCCACGACATCCCTTAGCAGCTTGGCCTTCTCTTCACTGTAAATTTGACAGGGGAAAAAAGTGTTTTTAAAACATATTAGATAGCACAGGGGAACTGACAATTATCAGAATGAGGAATTGTTGAATGGTGTGTGTGTGTGTGTGTGTCTATATATATATATATATATATATATAATATTTAAACCTGTAAAGAGAGGAGGCCTCGTGGGCTCGTGGGGGCACCAGCTTTGCAAAAATGTCTGGGCCAGTGACACTGGGGTCTGTTGGGTTTACAGGCAAGGCTTTCACCAGTGGGGCCCCTGTGATAGAGGAAGGAACGAGGAATTGTTGAATGGTGGGTGTGTGTGTGTGTGTGTGTGTGTGTCTATATATATATATATATATATATATAATATTTAAACCTGTAAAGAGAGGAGGCCTCGTGGGCAGCCATGGGCACCAGCTTTGCAAAAATGTCTGGGCCAGTGACACTGGGGTCTGTTGGGTTTACAGGCAAGGCTTTCACCAGTGGGGCCCCTGTGATAGAGGAAGGAAAGCATTAACTCCTATGGCAGTTTTCAATCTTTCCACTCTTACTCATTTACCTCCAGCAAATATTAAGCTAATGGAAACATGCACTTCTTCTAGTCATACCATATAATGAATCAATGACATCCCAATGCAGTTACAGAGCACTACAACATTTGTTGGCTAAAATACCTTTCACTGAGGTCAGTGTCTCCAGAGGTGGCACAGATTCATGGTAAATGAAGTCATTGTCTTTTTGGGCAGAATTAAATCTAAAATTAAAAGTGACATGAGAAGTGACAAATGAGCTTCCTGCGACTTTTTATACTAAATGAATTATGCCTTTTGGTAAGTTAAGTATAACATCATATCTGCTCACTTTCCACCAATGACATCCACGGTAAATTTAAGGGCTTCCTGTACACTGTCTGGTTGACCCTTAGCCAGCTTAATTGCCTCGTTGAGTTTGTCTATTGAGCTTTGAAGGTAAGCAACCTGTTGAAAAATAAATAAAGTATTTTATATCTTTGTATTAAATAAAGATCAGATTAAAAAGGTTTACAAAACAGCTGGTTCTTTCTGGGTTCATTTCAAAATCATCCTCTTCCTCCAAAAAAATCATGAACTTATTTTAAAAACATCCTCTTCTTCTTTCTATATAAAAGGTTTTTAAAATGGTTTTAGCTAGAGATTGAAGTAAACTACAAGAGATAAGTCACACTGTTCTTCCTAAAAAAAAAACTTTTTAAAGGTCAAGAGGCTAAGACGAGGTTGAAACTAGTTCTCCATGCCAAAGAGCACAGATGGCCACTAACTGAAAGTGAAGACAGAAAAACAGGCATGTTGTACCCTCTCTCCATACTTCTGCTGCTCTTCAGCCTGTTTCCCCATGTGCAACTGTTGAGAGAACAAGGATTTGTATGACTTGATTAGAAACATAAAACATTCACATTTGACCAGCCTGCTCTGTAGTTAGTCCAACCTCAGTTTGAATAGAAGACTCACATGAGCAACTGCAGCAAAGTAGTAAATCTTCATTTGCACTAATTTCTTCCAGTCTTTCTGTATCTTTCCTAACATTGAAGCAGTTTCTGAGTTCTCCAGAGCTCTGCATGCCTCTTTGTAATAGTCCACCACCTGAAGACAAAAATATTTCTTATCCAAGCATGTCTTACAGTCATACTGCCAGCAAATGGGATATATATATATATTATGTGTTCCAGACCAGTAAAAATAACATTCACATACTGCTTGAACTCAGAAATCTGGAATTTTATAAAATCGGACTTTTCCCCACATAGTCACAGCCTCACATGGCACACCCACGGACTACACAGTCTGTTCGCTGACTGACCAATGCATATTACTCTCAGAACTCTTTTTTTTGAGTATTTTCTCAATCTGGTGTCTTGTAAAATGGTGGCGAGGTAGCACTGTACCACAACAAAATGCTGTTCCGTTATATTTGTTATAATTTTACTATTGATAATGTCTTAAAGTTGGCATGAAATGCAAATTCACACTATTTTCCTATTGCTTCTTATTGATCAATTTGTGAATGATTCATCCATGCATATGTTTTATTTGTTACTTGTGAATAAGTGCTAAAATGGAAAGAATTATTTCTCAGCCTAATGATATGAGTAGCTGAAACAGCAATTCCGACATGATGTGCACACTGCATTAAATCACATGATATTTAAATTGGTGTATGTATGCTGTGTCTTCTCTAATTCATCTTACCTCTTCGGACACCCTGTTGTCCATGGCTCCCAACATTGAATGGAGTGCTCCTACAACATGGAAAACATGACTTGAATCAGGAAACAAGCCTGATTCTGAACAATACCCTCCTCTCAACAACACTGTAGTTCTTTTAATCACAGACAATGCAGTCATTGACTAGAGGAATAATACGTATCAGTCTAGTACTAACTCACCCAAATTATAAAGGATGCAGGCCTGCTCATAGCAGATGTCCTCATGGGTCACTGTCTTCCCAGAAAATATCTCTGTCCTATATATTAAACAAGAAAAGTGTAAGGGGAAGACTAAAAGTCAACTAAAGGCAGTATACGAGAGGGAAATATGATGGCTGGGTTGGTGCCCTCACCAGGAGATAGGAACAGCAGCTTCCTGCTCCAATCCCAAAGGCACACGACTCTGAAGATAGTGCAGTTGCCCGAAGTACTTCCTTAAGGTGCTGCAGCCTTCAAAGTCTCGTGTGACATTCACTGCACTCTAGAAAGGCAAGACAATGCAGAGAATGTAGAAAATGCATGACCATAGATGTCTACCGGTTGCTTAACTGGTAGAGCATGGTGATAGAAATGTTAAGTGTGATTTTAAGGGAAGACACATGATGACTAAAAGTATGTCTTGAATGCACAGTAAGATTTACCTGTCTCAATTGCTCCAGTTTCTTCAACTGCTCATTATAATTGTCAGGATCTTCACCGTAGTTCTTCAGTATGAACTAAGAAAATGGAAAATTGATATGAATGATCAAAAGAAACAAAGCAAAGACGTGTTCTGGTCTTTCTGGGCATTAACGATACTATCAATACAATACAAATAAAAAATAAATAAATACCTACAAAATCTAATATTTGGTATAGATGGAGTTTACATTTGCTTATTTGATTAGTGATGTATAAATTGTGCAAAAATCTTAATTATTTCTTATTTTATGCCATAACTGTTCTTGGTTTTACTTTTTATTCTAAAACTTCCTGTTTATTTCCAGGATTAAATGAAAAATCTTAGAAAAATCTCGATAAGCACTTAAGCATTGTTAATTTAAAGTAACAAAGCAAAGAAGCTTTCTAGGGGTTTTTTTGGACACTAACAAGACCATTCAATACAACACAGATAAAATATTAAAAGATCACACACACTGTTACAGCTTAAATCATTTGATATTAAAGAGACAATGAAAAACATAATCAGGTTTTATCATGGAATCTACAAGAAAAATCTGGCGCTGCAGTTCCTCTTGAACCCGATTCACTAAACTCTCTTAGTATTGTTATTTTGTTTGCATGCAACACTGCCAATAATTACCATGCAAAAACATAAACAACCACTTTTAACAACCTGAACCTGCTATTCTTCCTTTGGCCTACTTTGTCAGGAATGGATCCGATGACACATGACACAAGCTGATAAAAATTCCTAACTGCTGGGAGGAAGTGAAGGATAAGGAAGCATGAATTTTGTGAAGTTTAACACAATAATATAAACATTTAATTCACTACCACACAAAGTAATTTTAGTGGCATGTCATTGCAACCCAATCTAAAAATATCATTTACTCACCCTCACGTCTTTCAAAACCCATATGACTTCGTCAGTGGAAGTTCAAATGAGTCATTTGAAACGGAATGTCTGTTTTTTTTCGATGCAGTTGAGTTAATGGTGACCACAGTTGTCACTTGTATAGTAAGATTTTTACTTTAATAGTTTTGATGTCTCTATACGGTTCTCACGTAAAGCTATAATACGGCCAAAAAGAATTTGGAATATAGCACAAGAGTAAATCATTCCTATGATGCTTTTTTGTCATTTAAGAGTTTGACATCACCAGTCCCCATCCCCGTTCATTGCAGGAAAATACAATATATGAAGATTCTTTAAACCATCCCCTTTTGTATTCCACCTGGGTAAGTAAATAATGACAGACATTTTTGGTTAATGACAGATATATTTTTGGTTGAACTGTTCCTTTAAGAAAACACCGAATAGTTCACATAATACCTGAAAAACAAGGCCCTGGACTCAAATTTGAGTTTTGGGGTAGATCACCTATACAAATCATGCTGTCTTGTTTATTTTCAGATTGAATAGGAGCAAAGCCTGTAGTGAGTGGCCTGATCAGGCCTGTCTGGTCCCTCACCTGTTTGACAGTCGGGCTGAACTGAAACTCCCCTGCCTCCTTCAGATCCAGCCAGATCATCGGCATTCGCGGTACGGCTTCCATCGCAGCCGCCGATTTCGCTGAGCCGACTAAACTAGAATAGAATTATAGCGATCACGCACCTGGAAGGATGGCTGCCGAAATATTATTTTAAATGTTACAGCTCTAAACGACTGTCATGCTCCCATTTACAGCCATACAGGAAGCGATTGAAGCTTCCGGAAGTGACGTCATGAGATCTGACCTCTGATTCTGGGAAATGTGGTTCTGCAAAAAAAATATATATATAATAATAATAATAATTAAATTAATTAAATAAATAAGGAAATGTGGTTATGCACAACATTTTAGTCCTCATTTACTTTAAAGGTATGATTTAGCATTCATATTGTGCTTTTCTTTGTGTACGTAAATCCATATGTTTATTTTTACTGTAAATGTCTCATTAGAGATACGACCATGTTTTTTTCCTGATCATATATGTATTATATGTTCTGCAATAAAAAAAGGAAATGTGTACTGTGCTCTGCTGCATATTAATGTCTGTTATTCCATAAAAAAATGTACTGATGCTTTAGCCTATTGCATTATATCTACAGAGGTGTAAAACCTGCAGAGAAATCATACTTTATTAAAAGGATACTATGTCAAAAATTAATTACAAAATATCTAGCCAAAAAATACATGCTCATTTACTTAGTACTTATAAAGCACATATTCTGCAGGACCATCCTAATCCCTAAACTTAACAACTGCCTTACTAACTATTAATAAGCAGCAAATTAGGAGTTTATTGAGGCAAAAGTTGTAGTTAATGGTTAGTTAATAGCGAGAATTGGACCTTAAAATAAAGTGTGACCACACCACATTTTCATATCTACACAATCATATTCATATTTTTAAAATCCATGACTTTTGTCAGTGGAGCAAAAATGAGTCATTTGTAGCAGAATGTTTTCGATACTATTGAGTGAATGGTGACCACAGTTGTCAAGTAAGATTTTTCTTGAATAATATTTTTAATGTCTCACATTTTTCAGACAACAAGATGTACTGATGCTATTTTGCATTGTATCTACAGGTGTAGAACATTTACAAAGAAATTATACCTTGACTAAAAGAGTCAAAAATGTAATTTTCTTTATGGCTTTGGAGCATGTTTTTCATCTGTAGATGGGAAAATAATGTTAAGAAACTTTAGAGACTTTTTGGTTCTTATGTGGGACTATCAGTGCTAATGGTATTAGGAAGGAAATGGAAACCTGCAGCATTCGTCTTCGCAACTTCTTCTTTTCTTCATTTTCTCTTCTTGCGTTTTGTCTGACACGCTGCATAAAACATCTTCTGTAAGCTAAATAACTGAAACAGTGAATTGCAATGCTGCAAATTATTCTGCTTCTTCTTCCTGGTAAGAAAAGATTTTCTCATCTATTTAGTTTGTTGTCCGTTTTTTCCTATAATTATTTGATTTAATTTATATCAAATTCTAATAATGATTATATTTTTAATTAATAATGTTATTTTTAGGATTACTGATAAACTACTGTCATTTGATTTGTATTATTTGTATTTGATATTTATTTTAATTTTAGTAAAATTATGTGTGTATGTCTTTTATTACGTTTTTAGTTTGATTTAATTTGAGTTATTTTAATACTTCAACAAACTAAATGGAAATGAAATAATATATATATTGAATTTATAAATGTGTATGTACATATACAGTATATATGTGTGTGTGTCTGGTTGTACATGTTTTTTTATGTTTGGCTTAGTGTTATGTTAGAAACATTATTATACTCTTATACCTTTTGTTCTTTAATATTTTGAATTGTTTTTAGCTTTATTTTTTGTTTTTCATTTATATGTTACGTTTTGAAATGTTGTTGTATGCATTTGTCATTTTTATTTTATTTCTTTATTTTTAAAATGTGTATAGGTAGTATGTATAAAGTTTATCTTTTAGTTTTGGATCTGTTTTTAGTTGTTTTAATACTACAATTGATTGCTTCTGTTGTCCTCATTTGTAAGTCACTTTGGATAAAAGCGTCTGCTAAATGACTAAATAAATAAATAAACTGAAAATGAATTGACTATATAAAATGGAGACCAAATCTGAGGCCACTAAAATGGTATTTTGTGTTCTTTTCATTTTCTAATAAAAATGTTAGATATTTAGATGTTTTTTAAATATCTGGTGTATATAGAGTTCACATCTTCTTACTTGATTAGTGACATTGCAGAATCTTGAATATCTCTTATTTATTTAAGCCATAACCTTTCTTTATTGTACTTTTTTTTCTTTTTAATTTTTTTATGGTTTTAATGCTTTTTTTATGTGGTCTCAGACTTTTGGATTCCACTGTATCTCTGTTATTGCTGATTGATTCATTATGTAAATAATTTCTTAAAAACTGTCACAATAGATATTTTAGATACCTGTAACAGATATTGTCTCGAGAGATATTTTAGCTATCTGATTTAACTATCAACAGTAACAAATACTCTAAATAAATCAAGTGTTCTGTGCTCCTCAGGTGTTCTCAGTAATCAGTGGAGTGTGAATTATCCTCTGAGTCTGATCTGTGCTGCGAGGGGATCCGATGTTTCTATTGACTGTAGATTTACACATCCACATGAGCAACAAGTACAGCAAGTGCTGTGGTGTTCAATGAGATCAAACCATGGCTACTGTGTGAATGAGCCGTATGTTTATAATAGTGAAGCCAACAATAATCAAAAGAACTTTCAATACTTTGGAGACAAAACCTCAAATTGTTCTCTTTTGATCAGTAATATAAATTGAACACATTCTGGAGAGCATAAATTCAGATTTATAACCCGTCAGGACAAATGGACAGGTAATCCTGGAGTAAACATTTTAGTAGATGGTAAATATAAAAGATTTACTCTAAAAAAAAAAAAAAAAGTACTTCTTGATGCTTTTGTTGTTTGGTTTGTTTTGATCAAAATAAATCTCCCAGTTACATGTTTTATTTATTTTTTGGTAGATTTAAGAGTGTCCATGAGCAGGTCAAGAGAAAATGGAAGCACAATAGTTGGAGACTCTTTGAATTTGACATGCACACTCAGCTGCTCTGGTAATTTAGCTGATGTTCAGTGGTTTAAGAATGGTGATCCGATTCAACATTCAGAGCCCGTCCTCACCTTCAGCAGAGTAACAGCTGAAGACTCTGGGAATTACTCTTGTTCTTTGAGAAACTTTAAAACAACTGTATCTGAAGAAATTACCATTTACATTGAAGGTTGGTTGAACTGATATATATATATTATTACCATTTTCATATTCACACAATCATATTTATATTTGGTCAATGAGAGATGTGCATAATTGAAACTAAATGGTATCTTTTTGTTGTCCTCAATAGATGTCGCCGGGTCCCCAACCGTTCTGATTATTGTGGTGTTTTTAGTCTCACTTGTTTTCATCACTGCAGCTGTGATGCTTATGAGACGGTAAGACATTTTGATTTGTTTGTGCTTGCACACACCAATATATTATAAATCTCTCAGTCAATCTGAATGAAACATTAGTTGATATTGCACAAGTCAAGTCACCTTTATTCATATAGTGCTTTATACAATAGAGATTGTTTCAAAGCTGCTTCACAGTGTTTAAACAAGAAAGTAACAGAATCAATGATGCAAACTTCACCAAAAATGAGACAAATCCAAATTCTATGAATGATCATTCAAGGACATTTTTGCATCCATTTCTTCCTGGTTAAAGATCGGGATACGTCACACCAGCATTAGGTGGGAAGGAAGACTTCTGTCCTTCTAGTCTGTCCAGCAGCAGAAACTTAGCTTAGAAAGCAGAATGAAGAAAATAGTAAAAATGATTTGGTGCATCTGTGCATTTTGTGTAGTTGTCAGGAGAGTTTTGTAATGTTTGTGAGGGTCAGTGGTTAAGGCTTATGACACAATGTTGCCAAACTGCATGTAGCCCAAATAAATTGCATCAGATCAGTTCATGAACCGTTTTTTTTTTTTTTAAATAAGGAATAATTAAATAATAGTTTTACAAAAACATTTCTGTCACATTTTCTCTTACAAGGAAAGCAAAAACTCAAGTAAAACCAATGGAGAAGAGAGAAGAAGCCGAGGGTTCTCTTTACTGCACTCTTCAAACAACTGTAAATATTTGTGAAACCTAAACATAAAAACTTACAAACATAAAACATTTATCCTTAGGGAGTAAACATGACATGTAAAAACAGTAAGAATCACAACAAATGTTATGTAGCACTGTGCGAAGTTAGAAAATTATAATGGTATATGATTTACATAACTGCCCTGTAGAAAGGACCAGCCTTGCTGTACTGTATGTTGTGTTTTTGATGCGGGTTGGTGTTTCCACCAGGCTTTTCAGCCAACTTACCCAGCAAGTCTTGTTTGGTCAAACAACTTCATCAGAAGCTGAGCTAAGCTGGTCTTTTCAGCAGGGTAGGCATTAAACAGAACAAAATGTGACAGTTAGGCCTATATGTAAAGACATGTTCTGTTTATCTGTTTGCTGTTAGGATGACGCAGTCTACTCGACCATCACAAACCCGCAAGAAACCGAAGATGTACTGCAGGAAGTGTAATGTGCTTCAAGTGTGAGCATTCAAGACACACATCACTGTGGTCACATTTATTTATTTTTTATTCTGACCAGTAGGTATGGAGATGATGTGACATGATTCACGATTCATCATATTTGACAACATATTTGTCCATCTTGACATAATATTGTTAGTGAATATGAGTTTGTGTGTGTTTCACTGTAATGATCTTCTTCATTTCTAGGTCTGAAAACACAAAGCAGCAAAATGAGAGTCTGGTTGTGTCTACATTGTTTTGACCAAATGTCCCACTTCAATGATGAAACATGAAATCACCTACATTGTGGTTAAACACTCTGTACAATAAACATTAATAGTAGAAGTTAATGAAAATTCCCTAACATGATAGGAAGCAAACAAGTGTCTACTGTACAGTTTGTGTGTTTTCAGCTCTAAAATTCTCAGATGAAGAGCCGCCTCTGGTAAATATAATTGTGCTTCTTTGAACCTTTTTAGATTGATAAAATAATTTTGTGGCAGCTGTAAAGGGCAACGTTTAGTGTTGGGAGTAGGCAGTTAAGATAAAGAAAGCATTTCCATAGCAATGACTCTTGACTTCAGTGTTCGCT